AAAATATTAATCTGGGAATTTTAGCCTCCACGATCACTATTTTATGTACTAATTAGGTGTCAAGTTTAAAAATTTGGTTCTTTTAACTTTGGGTTGCCAGCAAAACGTATCGCTAGTAACGCAGTGTGTGATAAATATTAATAGCAAGAAATTAAGTGATAATTAAGTGCTGAGCGATTATCGAGTCCCGATGCAGATTTAAATATTATTCTGGGAATTATAGCCTCCACGATCACCATTACCTTAGCATAAGGTATGAACGGCATTTTTTGTTCTTTATCAATGCCTAAAAATTAAATGCTAAAACATTATTGAGGTCGGATGTAGATGACGGTAATATTCTGGGAATTATCAGGTCCAGGTCCATTGCCTTACTTTAAGGTATGATCGGAATTTTTTGTTCTTTATCGATAAAAGTTTGATTTTATAGCAAATAAATGCTGCAATCTTCATTTTTATACACGTAAAGCCCAAACTTTAGTGTACAAAATCAAAAATATTTACTTTTTTCCACTAAAGTTGCTTCGTCGTTTTATCGAAAGTTATTTTATCGTACCAAAATCGATGGACGTGTAAGGTGGTACGTGTACCCTAAATGGCCTAACCCCAAAAAAATTACTATAAATCGCTAAGTCATTAACGAAGACATAAGAAATAAAAATTTACATTAAATTAGAAATAACAAATAGGAATAAATAATAATCTTCTGAATACGCACAAGTATATATTAAACGTTAATTTGTAGGTAAAGTAAAACATTATTTGAGTACCAAATTTCACCCAAAACTTACGAGTGGCTAGTTTCCGAGACAGCTGTACGTGGTAGAGCCATGCTGCAGTTATATTAGTAGTATAGTTGACCGGGGAAAGGCCACGCTCTCACAGAATACCAGCATAAAATAGTAGTTTATTGCTGCTGTGTTCGTATGGTGAGTATAGAGAACTGGATACCCTTTTTGCTAGAAACGAGGCTTTCCGTCTTAGTCCTCACGAGTGAAAACGCATCTGCATTTTGATTCGTAATCGAGCATAGATGTAGATGTCTATGAGCCACAGCAATCACTTACCATAAAGTTGACTGTGTGCTCGTTTGTCACCCTATCCTATATAAAAAAAAACCAGTTTGGTACATAAAAATATTAAAAACAAAAAAAATTCAGTAGTAAAATATGAATGAATGAATGAATATACTTTATTGCACACCACAAACAAATTTACAAAGAACATAACAGAGAGCAGATTACATGTACAATTTGGCGGCCTTATCGCTACATAGCGATCTCTTCCAGGCAACCAAAGGTGTAAAGGAATAAAACAGTGAGTACTAGGTAGGTGGTGCAATATAAATATACCTAATATAATATCAATACATGCAATAAAATAACATATAAGTAAATAATTAATATATTAAAAAAAAAATATGATACACATATACATAGGTATATACATAAACATACACACACACACATATATACATATATATACATATACATACATATACATACATACATATACACACATACACATATATACATACATATATCCTCAAATATATACCAGTAACAATAACATAAACAAATAAATACAAAACTACATAATCACATAATTTATCCTAATGATTTTCGAACGATTGAGACAAGTAATGCTCTTTAAGAAGTCGCTTAAAGACTACAATAGTCTGAGCTTCGCGTAAATACAAAGGTAGGGCATTCCAGAGCTTAATAGACTGTACAGTAAAAGATTTATTAAAGAAAGATGTATTGTGAGTTGGTACCCTTAGAATGAGTTTTCTTGAAGAGCGTAAAGGTTCCCCTGGAAGCCCAACAAAACTAAATTTCTCCTTAAGATAAGGAGGAGTAGAAGGGTGAAATAAGACACAGTACAGAATAGAAAGAATATGCATGTTCCGGCGAAATTGGATAGGTAACCACTTGAGACGTGAGCGAAATTGGGAAATGTGGTCAAATTTGCGCAATCCAAATATGAACCGAATACTAGTATTTTGAAGTCTCTCAAGCTTAGTTAGCTGGTCTTTAGTTATGTCTACATAGCTTGCGTCGGCATAGTCGAGAATCGGAAGGAGAAGAGACTGTGCGAGCATAATTTTTGTAGGAATGGGAAGAAATGATCGAAGGCGACGCAGTGAACTAAGAGCGACAAAGGTTTTCTTACTTACCTCATTCAGTTGGCGTTTCCAATTTAAGGAACTATCAAGGTAAACACCAAGATTTTTGACATTGTCAAAGTAAGGGATCACAACCCCATCGAATACAACAGGTGGTATGGAAAACCAGTCAATTCTTGAGATAAAGCTCTGACTACCAAAAATGATAGCCTGTGACTTTTTAGGATTGACATTTAGGCCATATGATTGACTCCACTCATGAATCATATTTAAGTCATTGTTTAATGTAGCGATTGCATTTGGCAAATTCTCAAGAGTTGACTGGGTGTAAATCTGGACATCATCCGCATACATGTGGTAGAGAGAAGAAATTTTATGAGTAATTGAATTAATGAAAATGGAAAAGAGTAAAGGTGACAACACGCCACCCTGCGGCACGCCTGCAGTAATATCACACCAAGATGAGTGAGTTTCATCAACATGAATACACTGCCGACGGCCACAGAGGTAACTTTGAAACCAGTCAATTACTGATGGAGATATGTTAAGGGAATACAACTGACTCAACAGTATATCGAAATCAACAGTATTGAACGCATTGCTGAAATCTAGCAAGGTCATGACTGTGAGTTGTTTATTATCCATACCCCACCGTATGTCATCAGTAACTTTAATTAAGGCAGTAGCCGTACTATGACCGGATAAAATACCGGACCGAATAAAATATTTTACGACCAAAGCGTAACTCCGCATATATTCATTTATTTTTGCTGATATGTGGGGCTATATGGGTTAGAACACTACCAAACAAAAATAAAAACGATATTTTTCTGCCTACGACCATAGACAACTTTGCACCACCTACGCGCTCCGTCGTAGTTCACACGCACTCGTACCTTTAAGCAAATTATAAGCAATATTATGAAAACGCCATTCATATTGCACGCGCAAATTAAGTTTGGTCGTTAATATATAAGTAACATTTTATACGTATTTTTTTTTGGTAATATGTACTTGTTTGAATAGGTTTATTTTATTTTATAGTATATTCCGTTTTAATACGAAATAATTAAATAAGTTATATTTAAAGTAATTTACATGTATATTATGGAAAAAACATTCATTATCAATTTTAGAAACATAATGTTGAAAAAAAAAACAGCAAATAACCAGATAACTAATTTCTGTATTTGGCTTACAGCCTCGTTAGTCTATAAGTCGGAGATACTATTGCTAATCGCTGCGTGTAGGGTTCCAATCCACGGTAAGCTTTTTTACATTATTATTTTTGGGGTATCTATATAATTTTCTCATCTGGTTGAGTTCTATAAATATATAATTATAAATTAAAATGGAAAGATAGACATACATAAATATCAATAAAAATAATATAGATACAAAAAATACATAAATATTGTATTGCACACACAAAACCCTCGGTTTCCCCGAAGAGGTCACCGAAACGTAGCCAGTTGAGGGAGGCGGCTGTATCTACGTGGGGCTCATGTAGAGCTCTGTAGTGCCTCCAGTGGAGCTCCTTCTCCTTCCATAAGGTCTCCCGGTCGGAAATGCTCTGTACTGCCGGGTCCTGCCATTGCTCGTTGGCTAAGGATAGAGGGTAAGTCAGTCAGGGTAAGTCCCTTTATCACTAGAAATGACGTCATTATAGAATGAATCATCCGATCTCGCCAGGAAGTAATGACGGAGGCTGCACACTTTGCGATTATGCATGGTGAGCGCGCTCAGGAAGCTACGCCCACCATGCTTTCGCGGCAAGTACAGCCTCATTACCGACGATCTCGGATGATGCATCCTATGGGACGTCATGGTAGTGCGGACTTTTCAGTTCAGTCTGACTCCACCTGATTATGCCAAAGGTATACATGAGGACAGGCACGACCCAGCCGTTATATGCGTGTGTCTTATGCACACCGGACAAAAGGCTGTTAAACACTTTGGTCAAGCGTGCATAAAACACGTCGCAAACTGACTGTTTCATACCAGCCTCATCGATACCGATGTTCTGTGATATACCCAGGTATCGGTATGTTTCAGCCTCGGAAAGGGTCCTTAAGTTGACGGGCATAGATTAGTCTATGCCCTCAGAGTTAGCAACCCTTCCCCTTTCAACATGGAGGATCGCACACTTATCCGTCCCCAGCTCCATTCTAATAGAATTGCTAAATTCACAAGTGGTTTAGCAATTCCAAAGATAGGAGCGACTGGAGGCGAATAATTTGAGGTCATCCATATAGAAAAGGTGGGTTATTTTTGTACCTCCTTTCCGAAGCTGAAATCCCCTCCCGGAGCCCTCCAGTAAAGTACTGAGAGGGTTCAAAGAGAGGCAGAACCAGATTGGACTCAGACAGTCGCCCTGGAATATACTCCTTCTTATCCTTATGCGGCTTTCCGCAGCCGTCATCCGCTCGCCCAGATGACAGAGGATCGTACTCCACTGCCCCATACACTGCTCGAGGAAGTCTCGAATTGTACAGTCAATCTTGCACAGCTCGAGGACCCTCTTTAGCCATGTATGGGGAACCGAGTCGAATGCCTTTCTGTAATCTATCCAGGCGGCGGAGAAGTTCCGACGGTTGCGTTTCACCACTTTGAGAATGACCGCGTCAATGAGGAGTGATTCCTTGGTTCCACGGCCACCGCCCCGACATCCATTTTGAGCATGCGACATCACCTGATTTGAGTCCAGGTGACGAGTAATTCTCGCGCTCAAAATGGATGTTAGTGTCTTGTATATGGTTGGTAGACACGTGATGGGGCGGTATTTGCTCGGGTCTGTGGTAACCTGGTCTTCATGAACCAAATGAGTGATCCCAGTAGTGAAGAGGCTAGGGAGCGACTTCTGGTTGAGAGCCTCTTAAAACTGACGGGCGAGCACAGCGTGACACACCATGAACCCCTTAAGCCAGTAGTGATACAACCCGTCGAGTCCCGGACTTTTCCAGTTCGGGGCTCTACGGACCGCCTCAGCTACGTCATACGGCGTTATGATGACGGGGTTCATGGGCGTAATACTCGCACACTGACCCGCCACAACTTCCGTCCAAGGGCCCTCGCTGTGGTTTACGGGCTCTGACCACAGGTCGCGCCAGAATGCGACAGTGTCGGCCTGATTCAGTGCTGAGCCCGTTCCACTTACCATTGGTCGCTCCAATGATTTATAGAGCCTCTTCTGATGACTCTGGAAGAGACGATTCTGGTTGAACCGTGTCGACCTCTTGGTATATCGCCGAATCCGCTTTCCCCAAGCAGCGATTCTCTTCTTCAGGTGGTCTATGCGCTCCGTCAGTTTTTGCATTATATCCGGCTGGGACAAACTAACATTTGGCCCAGCAAATGCCATCCTGACGGTGCGCACAATCCTTGGCCTGTTGTTGCCTGACCTGAAGTATATCAGTCTGCCGATGAGGGCCCTAGCCTTTGCGACACGTTCTTCAATTCTTATTCTCCAAGCTGGGATAGCACTACTTTGTCCATTAGCGCGTCCAGCCGTGGAATGTTTGGCGTCTATAATACGGCATACTGCCAGTGCTGCGCCAAAAAGAATTGAGTTCGCCTCGCAAAGGTCCCGGCTGGCTTCCAAATAGGTCACCAGCATTGGGTTTAGAGCTCTCACGACAGCCTGATTTCGCTTGCTTAGGGCTATGCGGGGAAGTAGCGGTCCATTTTCGAGAGGCGTACTACGCGTTTCCACAATCGCCACTTCCAATATACTCCTCATATCCTCTAATTCCAGTTCAACTACAACTGGGGTATTCACGGCGGCATCCACTTTTGTGGGTTGCTCTGCAATTTGTGGCGCCGCATCCTCAGCCGTAGCCTTTCAGAGAAAAAGCCTTTGGAGTTCGGCGACATCAAATATATTTGAGCGCAAGAGATACCGAACCAGGTTTGCCAGGTTTTGCTCTGTGACGGTTAAAGATGGCTCCAGCTCAACAAAAAGACAATGCATCCTAGCCGGATACACCAAACCTCCAACTTCTCCCCCTTTCGCCCTAAAATACGCCCGCAGTGCGTTAGTATTCATTTCGATTGTCCATAGCATGCGGCGTACTCCACCAGTGGTGGGTGCCGATTGCTGAGCCCGCGAAGACCCTGCCGACACCAAGCCATCTGGTGGGGATGATGGATGCTAGGGGCTGATGGGTGGTCGTGCAGCACCTCTCGCTCGGCTGGCGGTTCACATGCTGTGGCGTCCAGCGCCAGCTCCAGACGCGCCCTGGCGACCTCCAGACAGCGGCCCTTTGCGCGTTCTTCCGTATTCCATCATCCATAGTGGTGGGCGTCATTTAACGGGAGACGCCCAGAGCCGGCGCCGTTACATGGTGGGGCTATGTGCACAAGCGGGCCTTTGCACCTTCAATTTTTGCCGAGGCACGGCACTAACACCTCTTGGCAAGGTGCTGACTGACTGCGCTGACGTAGTGGTTTACATTATTATTATTATTAAAGTCTTATTTTATGGTTTTTGACATTATTATTATTAATTTATTTTCGTATATCGTATAGTAAGTTTGCTTACTATAAATTTATTTCCAAAATATATGGGTCGTAAACGGATTTGCTAATCACGAGGTCCCGGGTTCGAACCGTGGTCAGGTCATAATCAATTTTTTTCACTTTATTATTATTAAAGTTTTTGCTTTATAATTTTTGATGCTAATATTATCAATTGTTTTAGTTTAATATTCATTCACTATAAATTCATTGCTTGAGCAGTTTTCGAATTTGAAATTAAGTTTATTGTTCGTCCTTGCTAATTATTTATTTCTTTCCGAAATCTGAATATTTGCGTATAAAATAATATTTAATAGTAAATAAAAATAGTGTCTGAGTTTGGTAGTAAGCGAGGAAAATACTACTCCCTAAGTAGTAAGGATCGACATTTCCAGGCGAGTCTACTCTAAGAAACATACATAAATACGACAATTTCGTTACAGAGCTTTAATGGTACGATCTTTTCCTTGGTGTGGTTGGCATGTACAGCAACACAGTGTTAACGTGTCAATGGAGATCGCGATTTGCGACTGATGCGTGACTGCGTGAAACAAAACATACTTGAAGTTGAAGCTCGTTTGACGTGAGACGGACGACAATTTATTGCACCGAATATACAGCGCTAAGTGCATTTTATTCAATAACTCGAAATTTGTAGTTAATTTTTAAAAATACCTATTTATAGCACTGGATAACTCATATTATTAGATCATAGACATTTTTATTGATATCCAACGCCCATGATAGCAAAATCCGATAGTTGGACCGGGATATATTGCATATGTATCATTACTATAAGACACCGATACAAAAATAAACATAAATCAAAGTATTTCTCTTGGAGTCCGTTTCCTCCGCAGCACTTTTCCTACTGCATATTAATGATCTGCTTATCCCCGGTATCTATAGTCGGTATAACTAATTTAGGTGCCATAAAATAAATACAGCAATTGTTTATAGAATATTTTCTTACAAATATATGTGTGTATTTTATTTTAATTTTTTTACATGATTTATAGTGATAACTCATACTTTACATTTCACTTACAGTTACTTCAGATTACTCTATTTCTTAGGTGAACGACACAGCATATTCGAAATGTAAATTTTATAAATTGTTACGAGACAAAATACAAGCAAATAACTTTTAAAATTAGTAATAACAACAAACATTATTTTGTATTACCTACTTCATTTTTTAAATTAATGTTGTAGCCTTTTGCACTCATGTGGCGAATGAAATAGACCGAAGTGTATGAAGTAAAGGCGACGCGTAGGTAAAGACGGAAAGGGAACGGTCAATTTCAGGCTCAGTCTATATACACTATACCGTAAAAAAGCGAAAAACTCAGGGATTTTATTGAAAATAGGATAATAGAATAAATCAAACTAAATTACTTGCTAAAAATAAAAATGCAATTCCAATTCTTGTTGATTTTACAGGATGGCGTCCTCACAATCATAAAATTATATGTCAAATGTCATGTCTGACAAGTGACTTGAGTCATGAAATAATGTAGGTAGTGTGATATTTTTTTTGTTTATTCGCAGCTTGTTCGTGTAGTTGTGAAGCCGTGTATGCATTTATTGAGTTTCTTTTGTATTTCATTGGCGATTTGTTTTTTTTTGTTTGGAATTTGGATCTGTTACTACTTGTTTACTCGGCTTTTGTTGTATGGACTTCATGATTTGCGTGAGATTTTGATTTCATAGATATCGAATATTTGTAGAATCACAATTTGAATTATACTAGTTTCGAGACATTTTAGCCATTTTTATCAATAAATCTGCCTGATAAGTGATAAAAGTAATAGTATTTGAGAATTCAAATATCTGTCAATAAATTGATCAATAACCTCATGACAGTTGACAGCTAACGTCAAAACGACAACAATTTGCCATTAGTGTTGCAATTTTTGGTAAGAAAACAATATTAACACCACTGAAATAAAGGCAAATTCGTGGATTTGAGTGACCAAAAGTGGTATAATATATTATTTTGATTTAATTTCCTTTTTGCACTAAACCAGACCTATAATTTTCGAAAGTCTCCTTTGTCATTTGAAGTAAATTATCTTAATATTTATAAAGAAGCGTAATTTAGTAACGAGACTAACTCGAATAAAATTTTGAGAATTTTAGTTGTATAATTCTTCTAAATAAAATTTTAAAAAAGTACTGTTCTTAGCACTCTTATAAATTCTATGGTTCTGTGGGGTCCCTTCTATATAACCATACTCTTTGGCGGGATTTTAGGCATGTATGAGACCAATGTTGACCAGAGGTACTCGACAGATTAAACAAATTCATACACGATACCATAACTTACAGATTTACATTATCATTTTATTGTATTTTTTTGTCTAGCGTCTACTATACGTACCACCTTGAGAGTCCATCGATCTTGGTTCGATAAAATGACTAGAACCACAAAATGATGTAGATATCACTATTTATTACAAAGCAATTTTACTGGAAAGAAATTACATTAAAATTTAGGCTTTACATGTCTATATTAATCAAAATTGTAACATTTATTTGCTTTAAATATTAAATGAATTAAACTTTTACGGTACGGTATTAATATCAATGGCGAGTACATCACTCACCTCCAATTTGCCGACGATATAGTCCTTATGGTAAAATCGCTGGAGGACCTAAGCACTATGCTCAACAACCTCAATAGTGCATCCCAACGGATAGGTTTTAAGATGAACATGGACAAAACGAAGATCATGTGTAATGTCCATGTCACAACCATTCCGGTATTTGTTGGGAGCATTAACCTCGAAGTTGTTGACGAGTATGTTTACATGGAACAAATATATATAAAAGTCCACTGCTGAACACAGATCTCTCCCACAGATTACTTAAAAGCGGCGATTTTTTCATATTTTCCGGGTTTGGCAGGCGGCTTGGTAAAGGCATTTTTTGAGTTCTTATCAGAAAGACGCTGCTGCTAATTGCCTGTTTCAGTTTGCCTCTGCAAGCTCTTAAAACACCCATGGGACGCTATGGGGTAGTGGATATTCTCACTACACCTCTACGCGCCACTTTGTTCAATAATATCTTAAGTCAAAATGTACTACGAAATTTATAAATTATTTTATGGAGGCAGGGCCTCGTATTTAATTAGGTGCCCATCTGAGTAGGTCGCGCTTTTGCCTACTTTTACCGTCAAACAGTATTGAGTATCTACACTGCTGTGTTCCGGTGTAAAGGTATAAAGGGCAAATATAATTACTTACAGTCTGTGAGGCATTTTATCTTAGTCTTCAGAGATGACAATGATAAATGAGAGTAACGTTCTGTTGATTACAGGTATCCACGAGCTGCAAAAGACACATACTATTATGTGGACTGAAAGTTTTTTTGTCACTTCAGTTTTATTTTTTTAAATTACTTTTCATGTGAGTAAAAAAAGTGGTTAGATCAATCAATCTTAACTTTTTTGAGCACGGGCGCAAAGTATTAAATTGTGTCCCATATAACACCTAAAGGTGTTCATAAAATTTGGAAAGTATACGCGGACTAAATTTCTCTATCTCCCTTCCGACATCGGACGACCGGATGCTAAGGCAGTCATCATGTTGGCGACCTAAAATAATTTAAAAGAAATAGAAGTAGGGAACTTGCGGCTATCTTGTAGTACGGTGTGAAGGTTTAAAAATGTTACCTTACTCCCTAAAATTGTCAAGCAAATTGGTATTTTGATGGAAAAAAAGAAATAACAACGCACTTCTAACCTCGAAGATGTTTCGGCGGGGCACCTATGCTCTTTGGCGGGAACTAGCAGATGCGAAAACGAGCGCTTTAACTGGTGAATTGTGTTTAAATTCTTAATAAGATAAAAAAAACACTAATCAATAAACTACACGTCTTAAAAAAATAAGCACTCATTTGATGTTACACGGTTTCGTAACGGAATATCTGCAAGTACACGAATGTATTTCGACTAAGGGTGAACATTATATTTTTTAATCTTAATATTTGCCTCCATAAAACGAGGAACGGAGCATCAAATTTTATACGGTCTGAAAAGTTTCCAAACTCAACGTGAAGATGACAGCACTCGTCAATAAAAGCTAGTGAATGTAGTTGTCAATCTTTTGACAATTACGCAACAAAATTTTTCATTCTGATTTTAGACGCATAGTTGTTATTTGACAGTCATTTGAGTGAGTCGATGTGACTGTTTTTGTGAAAATGGAAAAAAATTGAGTATCGATCGTATCCTGTCATTAAATTTTTGTTTTTGAAAGGTAAACAAAAAAAAACACCTACGCAAATCAAAGATGATTTTGACTCTGTGTATTTTGGTGG